GCAGAGGGTCCTGAGGGGAAACGTGAGGGGGGAATTCAAGAGGGTTCTGAGGGGAAATGTGAGGGGAAATGTGATGGGAAACGTCAAGAGGGTCCTGAGGGGAAACGTGAGGGGGGAATTCAACAGGGTCCTGAGGGGAAACGTGAGGGGGGAATTCAAGAGGGTCCTGAGGGGAAACGTGAGGGGAAATGTGAGAGGAGTCCTGAGGGGAGATGTGAGGGGGGAATTCAAGAGGGTTCTGAGGGGAAATGTGATGGGAAATGTGATGGGAAACGTCAAGAGGGTCCTGAGGGGAAACGTGAGGGGAAAGATGAGTGGAGTCCTGAGGGGAAACGTGAGGGGAGTCCCCAGGGGGGAATTGGAGAGGGTCCTGAGGGGAAACGTGAGGGGAATGGTGGCTGGAAATGTGAGGGGAATGGTGGCTGGAAATGTGAGGGGAATGGTGGCTGGAAATGTGAGGGGAATGGTGGCTGGAAACGTGAGGGGAATGGTGGCTGGAAATGTGAGGGGAATGGTGGCTGGAAATGTGAGGGGAAATGTGAGGAGGGTCCTGAGGGGAAACATGACAGGAGTCCTGAGGGGAAAGGTGAGGGGGGTCCCCAGGGGGGAATTGGAGAGGGTCCTGAGGGGAAACGTGAGGGGAAATGTGAGGGGAAATGTGAGGGGAATGGTGAGGAGGGTCCTGAGGGGAAAACTGAGGGGAAATGTGGCTGGAAATGTGAGGGGAAACCTGAGGGGAAAGGTGAGGGGAAACGTGAGGGGGGTCCTGAATGTGAGGGGAAACCTGAGGGGAAATGTGGGGGGAAATGTGGCTGGAAATGTGAGGGGAATGGTGAGGGGGGTCCTGAATGTGAGGGGAAACGTGAGGGGAGTCCTGAGGGGAAATGTAAAAGGGATCCTGAGGGGAAACACGAGGGGAAACACGAGTGGAAACATGAGGGGAAACCTGAGTGGAAACCTGAGGGGAAACACGAGTGGAAACCTGAGGGGAAACATGAGGGGAAACCTGAGTGGAAACCTGAGTGGAAACACGAGTGGAAACATGAGGGGAAACACGAGTGGAAACACAAGGGGAAACATGAGGGGAAACACGAGTGGAAACACAAGGGGAAACATGAGGGGAAACCTGAGGGGAATTGTAAAAGGGATCCTGAGGGGAAACACGAGTGGAACCTTGAGGGGAAACACGAGTGGAACCTTGAGGAGGGTCCTGAACGTGAGGGGGAAGCTGAGAGGGGTCCTGAGGGGAAATGTGGGAAGAAAACTGAAGGGAAAAGTCGGGGGGACCCCGAGGGGAGAGAGAAGAGGGGTCANAGCGCCAGCGCCTCCGACTCGCCCGCGGGGGGGGGGGGGCGGGGGGGGGCGGCAGGGGGGAACTGCAGAGGGTCGTGAGGGGAAACGTGAGGGGGGAATTCAAGAGGGTCCTGAGGGGAAACGTGAGGGGAAAGATGAGTGGAGTCCTGAGGGGAAATGTGAGGGGAGAATTCAACAGGGTCCTGAGGGGAAATGTGAGGGGAAATGTGTGGGGAAATGTGAGAGGAGTCCTGAGGGGAAATGTGAGGGGAAATGTGAGAGGAGTCCTGAGGGGAAACGTCAACAGGGTCCTGAGGGGAAATGTGAGGGGAAACGTGAGGGGAGTCCCCAGGGGGGAATTGGAGAGGGTCCTGAGGGGAAACCTGAGGGGAAATGTGGCTGGAAACGTGAGGGGGGTCCTGAATGTGAGGGGAAACCTGAGGGGAAATGTGGGGGGAAAGGTGAGGAGGGTCCTGAGGGGAAACCTGAGGGGAAATGTGGCTGGAAACGTGAGGGGAATGGTGGCTGGAAATGTGAGGGGAATGGTGAGGGGGGTCCTGAGGGGAAACGTGAGGGGGAACGTCAGTGGAAATATAAAGAGGGTCCTGAACGTGAGGGGAAACGTGAGGGGAGTCCTGAGGGGAAATGTAAAAGGGATCCTGAGAGGAAACACGAGTGGAAACACGAGTGGAAACATGAGGGGAAACATGAGGGGAAACCTGAGGGGAAACCTGAGGGGAAACCTGAGGGGAAACACGAGTGGAAACATGAGTGGAAACACGAGTGGAAACATGAGGGGAAACCTGAGGGGAAATGTAAAAGGGATCCTGAGGAGAAACATGAGTGGAACCTTGAGGGGAAACACGAGTGGAACCTTGAGGAGGGTCCTGAACGCGAGGGGGAAGCTGAGAGGGGTCCTGAGGGGAAATGTGGGAAGAAAACTGAAGGGAAAAGTCGGGGGGACCCCGAGGGGAGAGAGAAGAGGGGTCA